GTAAAAGACTTTTAGAAAATCTACCTCAGGCTGACGAAAAGGGAGTCTTGGAACTGAAAGCAATCCAGAATTAAATCCAATAGAGGTAGAAGTCCCATTAGGATGAATACCAGTGGAAGCGGTAGCCGGGACACTTGTATTTGTAGTGTATGAAGCCGTGGGTTCTGCATAAAGAGGATAAAGACGCTGTTGCTGGTAGACTGAGGTATAATGCTGCGATGGAGCGATCAGAGCCGCAGCAGGATATAGTCCGGCTGGTGCGGATGTACAGCGGCGCAAAGCCGTAAGCACAGAGCTAAGCGAAGATGAATTTGAAGTAATATCTTGATGAATGATCTGTTGTTGATGTTGCGAACGCAGATCCACAATTAGATCTGCTATTATGCGAATTAAGCAGGCGAATGCCCGACTCAATTGCACTTGAGCTGATCTCATCCCAACCTGATATAATCGAGAAAATAATAAAACTTTAGAATAATAAATAAGTATTATTTGGAACGTTGGCCGAATAAAAAAAAGTTAAAACTAGGCATTCACCTCCTTGGATTCACTTTCAACATAAACGGGTGAGGTTTCAAAAAAAGCCAAGGCTCTGGCTGAAGAGGTATCATTGGTCATAATCAAAGGTGCTGAAAGAGAGTTTGCCGAAATCCCAGCAGAAGAGCTAGTGCCTGATGATGCCGAATTGGTCCATTCTGTATTATTTTCATTGTTGGCGTTGGTAGTGTTACTTCCGGAGACCACAGGAGAATTAGCACTTGCACCTGTTGAGAAAATATTGATACTAGATATGAAGGAACGACGCTGAGCACCAAGACCTGAAGAGCCAGATGCAGGGCCTGATGACATGTTGATTCCATTGGCAGATGATTGAGAAAGCCCGCCAGAACCACGCACAAAGTGATTTGTAGTTGAAGGAGAAGAACTAGTGGTGGTTGCAGATGTCGTTAGGCCAAGAGCTCCAGTCGCTGAAAGAAGGCGTGCCACTGGCGTGCCGCCAATGCTTCCCGTATTAGATAAACCATTGGCTGCAACAGTAGAAAGAGAACCAGCCGTTGAAGAGCTGGAGGCAATTGAACCACCGCTGCCGGCCATTACACGTACCGCTGTTTCCCCAGAGACACGAGATCCAGCCGCAGAAGAATTGCTGCCACCGCGACGCCTGGAGCGGTAACGAAGAGAACATGTGGTCATGCCGCCAAGGTGCAGAGATCCCAAAAACGTAGAAGATGGAGCCGATGGGGATGCGGTCACGCCGCCAGAAGATACCGCAGATAATGGCCAAGAAGGGGAAGCAGATCTAGTGGATACAACACTGGTAAAGCCAGTGTTGTCCATTGCGCTGTCATCAGCCTTACACAAGAAAAAAAATGTTATGCCAATCTTTTAGAAATAATCAATTTCAGTGTATTGTTTGAATTTTATAAAGTAAATTCCGTCTGTGGAGTCGCAATTAAAAGTTTTCGATTTACTTTTTGAGGTGGATAAAGATTCGAATATGTACATTAGTAAGGATAAAACTAAGCTTGGTAAAAAAGGAATAGGTTAAATAAATCACATCTTCCCCTGGACCTAGATCATGAAATGCTAAATAAACTCGATGCTATTGTATAAATAAAATCGATTAAATTTGTGATAAGAGGAATGTTGAAACTAACGGTGTATGGTCCCAAATAAATGTCTTTGAAATAACTTGCTTCTCTAAAGAATTTCAGTACTCTTCTACTCAATAAACCGAGTATATAATAATGCCATGCGGAAAAAGTAGATTAAAATAGTATTCATGCAGGAAATTAAGGAGGCTACTAAAAGCAGTTTCAACGTACATCCTCGCT